CTACAAATAGCCAGAACGCAAATCGCATGAATGGTCGGAATTGGTTACCTCGGATTCGCGATGTATCTAGGATAGGCATTACAAGAAGAATTAGAAGTGACCCAAACATTGCGAGTACTCCTAGTAGTTTATTTGGAATTGACCGTAGAATTGCATAGAAAGGTAGTAGATACCATTCAGGTACAATTGAAGGAGGTGTTTGCATAGGATTTGCAGGAATATAATTATCTGAATGTCCTAGTGCATTAGGCATAAAGAATACGAAAGCACCTAGTGCCAGTAGGAAAGCAAATACTGTAACAAGATCTTTGAATACGAAATAAGGGTGGAATGGTAGTCGATCTGTGTTTCCAGATACTCCTAGAGGGTTGCTACTTCCATGTTCATGTAGTGCAAGGAGGTGCATAGCAGCAAGAGCTGCTAGTACAAAAGGAAGTAGATAATGAAGTGAAAAGAATCGGTTTAGTGTAGCATTGCTTACAGAGAATCCTCCCCAAACAAATTCTACAAAATCTTGACCGATCCAAGGAATTGCACTTAGAAGGTTAGTAATTACTGTTGCTCCCCAGAGTGACATTTGTCCATAAGGTAGTACGTATCCTAGGAAGGCAATAGCCATCATTAGCACAAGGATAATAACCCCAATAGACCAAAGTAGTACTCGAGGTGATTTGTATGATCCATAATATAGACCTCGTCCAATGTGAAGATATACAAAAATAAAGAAGAATGATGCAGTATTTGCATGTAGGTACCGAATAAGCCAACCATAGTTAACATCTCGCATAATGTGTTCAACACTAACAAAAGCAAGATCTACAGAAGGTGTATAGTGCATAGCAAGAAATACTCCAGTTAGGATTTGAATAATTAGACAAGCACCAAGTAGTGAACCAAAATTCCACATGTAAGAAATATTGGCAGGTTGTGGTGAATCTACTGCATAACTATTCAGAAGTCCAAGAATAGGGTGTGTTTTTAGTAGTCGCATAATAAAATATGTAAAAGGGTAGAATTAACAAACCATCAAATCTAGAATAAAAATTAAAAATATAGTGAAATAAGAAGCTAAAATATAAAAATACGAAAATTCGTACAGAGTATTGCCAGTCCTAGTGGAATTGAACCCGAGTAAAACGAGGCCTCATCCTTAAGGATCCGGTATTGTTATAAATTTGCCTTAGTGGAGTCGAACCACTGTATTGTCATTATCGGTAACACATTCTAACCGTTAAATTAAAGGCAAATTTGACTCTGCTTGCTATAGCGGCAGAGATAACACATTCTAACCGTTAAATTAAAGGCAAACCAAAAAATAAGACATATTAATTGCTCTCTTATATTTCAATTTATATTCTCTTACGACGAAGCTTTGCTATCGCTATAAACTGTTGTAGATT